GGGCCTCTTCGGGTTCATCTTGTTTGGGACTCTGTGCTTCCTGGACTTATATGTCTGTTTCCTTCACCAAGTTAGGAAAGTTTTCTGGCACCCCCAAGATGCGAATGTTGGCACGCTTGAAGTTGTCCCAGAGGCTCCTTACACTATGCTCATTTTTTTGGATTCTTTTTTCTTTTTGCTGTTCTGATTGGGTGTTTTTTGCTTCCTGATATTCCAAATCAGTGGTTTGCTTCTTGGCTTTACCTACTCTACTATTGAATCTGTGTAAATTATTCTTTATTTCAGTTAGTGCCTCCTTCATTTCTGACTGTGCATCCTTCATTTCTAACGGGTCCTTTTTTATGCTCTTGAGGCCCTCACTAAGTTCATTGAGCATCCTTATAAGCAGTATTTTGAACTCAGCATCTGTTAGATTGCTTATCTCTATTTCGCTTATTTCTTTTCTTGGGGTTTTGTTCTGTTCTTTCATTTGGGACCTGTTTGTCTCCTCATTTTGGCTGCCTCCCTGTGTTTGTTTCTGTGTATTACTTAACAAGAGGTATGGGGCTAGCTGAGACCAGATGCTGCTTGTTTGAAAGAATTTAGAAAAACCTGAAGCAGGATCCAAGACAGGCCAATCCTATGGTTAAGCAAGTGGCAACAGCTTGGGTGGGCCTGAAAGTTGGGTGGGGCGGGGCCTCAGGGAATCACCAGGGCAGGGCCACCAGTATGAGCCAGGTTGCTGGACTCCCAGATATGGACGCTGTCTACCATCCCAGGGAAGGGCTCACCAAAGGAACAAAGGCCTTTGACAGCATGTTTGTCCTGGAGAAAGCCCCCTCTCCAGCCCTCGCTCCAGTGCCAAACAGCTCAGTTCTTCCCTGTATGTCTCTGGTGCCTCTCAAGCTGCCTCCCCTCCAAGCTTAGAGGGAGTGAGTCCAACAAGTCTGTGCACGGGCCCTTTAAGGAACTGCCTGGGGCTCCAGCTGCGTCAGCCCCCCTGAGCCTCAGTTCCCGCTGGTTTTTCCAGCCAGAGGTAATGGGGACTTCTCTTCCTGGCACTGCAACCCTGAACGGGGTGCCTGGTGTGGGACGGGGACCCCTCAGTCCTCAGAGAGGACCTTCCCAGCTGAGGTATCCTCCTGATTTTTATCTGCCATACGTGGGTGTGGGACCAGCCTGTCCACCTCTGCCCCTCCTACCAGTCTTGATGCGGCTGCTGCTTTAATTGCGCAGTTGTAGGACTTCCATTCAGCTTGATTTCAGGCGGTTTTGAATGGTGTTTGTTCTGTAGTTTAGTTGTAACTTTGATGTGGTTGTGGGAGGAAGCGACCGCGTTTACCTACGCCGCCATCTTGACCGGAAGTCCCTAACACTGTTATGAGCACTGGAAAGCAAATCCCCAAATAGAGAGTTTTGTCTGTTTTGCTCATTGTTGTATTTGCAGTGTCTTGAAAGTGCCCATATAGAAGGTAATCAATAAATATTTGTGGAAGAATGAGTAATATTAGTTCTTAACAAATACTTGCTAATTAATTGGATGACAGAGAAGCCTTCAGGATCAATAGTTTTCCTGAGAAGAATCAGGTCAATTGTTAGAAACTTCAGACCTAGGTTTTCAAAGTTGTAAGAATCAAAGCTGGTTGAGTATGGGCTGGGATAGGAATGAAAGGCAGGACGAGGGATTTCCCCTCTCTGACCACATCTTCCTACCACAGTTCCCACTTCCCAGTCCTCACTACCTCAAATACCCAACACTTCATAATTCACCCTTTTTGGGGCCCAAATTTCATTTTTAAAAAATCTGCATTCCATTGTTACGTACTTCATGATTCCCAAAACGTTTTCCATTGCTATTAACTTAGATCAATCAATTCTGTGCTTTGACAAGTACTATAATCTTCTGTTTGATCTTTGGACTTTGGACTTTGCTCACCCCAATTCATCACTGCCAGACTAATCTTTCCAGAATATCACTTTCATGATGCTACTACCCTGCTCAAAAGTCTTTAATGACGGCTATATGTCATCTACTTAGCTTTGTACCCACAGTCTTCAGTGACCAGTTCCCTATTAATCTGTCTACTCTGTGTTATTACCCAGAACTCCTGAACAGGACTCCTCAGTTCCAACTAGTCAGATGCACTCATGTGCCACAAAATCACCTTGTGTTCTCCTGCCCTGCATTTATTTATTTGCTCATGAGACCTAAGTGCCCCAAGTTCTCTAGTATTCATCCTAAGTCCATTTTTTGAATGTCCAAATTAAAATTCTGTAAGCCTTCTCTTAAGTCATTTTCAGAATTTCTGAAAAATGCTGTCATGACAGTCCCAGAAAACCACTGTGTTGTCACGTCACCATGGTCAGCTTCTCACTCCAGAAAAATCCTCTACCTTCAGTTGATCACAGCTTTCTCTTTCAAAGCTGGCTTCTGCTGGCTGCTGCTGTTCTCCAAGGATAAATGTGTCCCAGGCATGCTCCCAGGCTGCATATCTAATTCCACACAGTACAGTTAACATCCAGATTATCCTAGTGTGCAACATTTTACCCAAGGTATAGGGATAACTAGTAGAACTACTGTACTACTGATACTCTGTGACCATAGTCACCCACCCTTCTCTGCTCCCTCACTCTACACATCTGTGGTCACACTACAGGGGCTAACTTCTCTCCATCAAATGGACTCAGTCAGTCAGGGAACATACATTTAAGAGCCAGGCAATATGCTAGGCATTGAGGATACAAGGGTGAACCATAGTGATCTCTTCCATCTCTGAATTCATGTAACAATCACTGTTCATGACACAGTTGCTGTTTTCATGACAGACATTAAATAATTACAGTTGAGTGAATAATTCTATGTGTGCAAAATGCTGCCAAAGAAACACCTGGAATACAAGCTTAAGTCCTCTATATTCTCTGGGGATTGGAGAAAAAGGAAAAAGAGTGCCTCTTACATTCTATCTAGTCAAATTAATAATAAAATAATCTTTAGAAAGCAATTCTGACCTTAAGGAAGACAGCCTTTTACATTATTATGCTGCTTATCTCCTGACTTTTTTTCATATTTCCTCAATAGAGAAAAAAGCCAAAATTCATGAACACTTAAACTATGATGTTGGCATCATTCTAAGCCATACACACACACACACACACACATTCACAATGACCTATGAAGGAGTCCTATTAATTTCCTCATTTTACAGATGAGGCAACTAAGGCACAGAAAGGTTATAATTAGCTCAGTCACACAGCAACTAAGGGCAGAATTAAGAAACCAGGCAATTTGCCTACCCCAAAGTCTTTATTATTACTTTTTAATACAGAAAATTTACATAATCACAGATAGGTCATTAAAATGATCTCCCCAAAACAGTGGATCAGTCTTCCTTCACAGGTGTATTCTACCTCCACCTTTAAGGCAACCTCTCAGAATCAGTTCCCCATCTTCTGCCTCTGAACTTTCATCCCAGAGTGAGGCTCAGGGCACTCTGCCACATTATGCTTCTCTATTCGGACTGCTCTTCTTATCAGTTGCTGAAACTCCATTCATTCTTCTGTAGAAGCCAAACCAAACCCTTCCCAGGCCTAGCTCATACTGATATCTTCCATCTCTGAATTCACGTAACAATCAATGTTCGTAGACACACTTACAGATGACCTTCTTTACTAAGTTTATAGGGAATATAAATTTCTTGCATGAAACTGGCACTCAAAAAAGGACTGATTGATAAAAAGAGGGTCCCCAGATGGTAGGGGACCTTTGTGGCAGGCAGCAATACTGGTAGCAAGTAGGCATTTTAGTTCTTGATTTTATGCTTTTTATATAACTTTTAAAAAAAAATCTATGGATATAATGAACATATCTGAAAATATTCATTCAATAAATGTTTAACATGCCAAGGCATTGTGCTAGGTACTAAAAGTAAAATAAACTCTCTTTCCTGACCTCTATACCCAAATTTCCAGCTGCCTTCCAGATATATCCACAAGTTCAAATCCAAGATTATCATGGTAATCCCTATAACACAGAAACAAATATTCTAAACTTGTCCCTCCTCAAGTCTCAACATGTCTTGTCAATTACTTTTCCCATTTTAAAACATCCAAGTTATATATTCATTCTATGAATGTAATAAAGAAACTGTACTAAGAGACCCTGTTCTTTACTCTTTTGCCAACTTAATAATATCATCAGGGCAATTCTCTCTGTTTACATGTAGATCTTGTATTAGCTGTGGGGCAGCTGCAATTTTAATTTATTATGTGCTAAAAGAGTTTACAATTACTTTCAGAACATTATTTTTTAATTGAGGATTTTAAGTGGGACAAATGAAGCAAAGAAACTGTTAGGCTTTTCACAGCCCTCAAGATATAAATCTTTACACAATGTAAAAATATAATTGAATACAATTCAAATTTAAAAGCTAACAATTCATATTAGAGGTCAGTGGTAGAGATGTTTAGTTTTCTGCCACAATTTCAATCCAGAATTAATTAGCTTATAAAACAGAATACATGGAAAAGTAAGGACTCACTTGAATCCCAATGCAACAAATATGAACTAGAGTTTTAGTTCTTTGTAACTTCTGTAAAAATTCTCCAAATGTATTGGTATAGTTTATGTTAGGGATGGAATCTGGTTCCTATGTTAGCTTTCCAGAAAAATTTAAAGAAAGGCAACCTGGCCCCAGCCAGTAAGGCTCAGTTGGTTGGGAGTCAATCCCATGCATCGAGAGGTCACTGGTTCATTTCCAGGTCAGGGCACATGCCTGGGTTTTGGCTGGATCCCCAGTAGGGGGTGTGCAGGAAGCAGCTCTCATAGATGTTTCTCTCTCTCTCAAATCAATAAAAACATATTTTTTAAAAAAGAAAAGCATCTTGGCATTTGTTTGTTTCTGCTCTAAGTGGGTTAACATTTTACTTGAATTAACTTGCAAAGTAATTGTTTATCTATAAATCAGTATTTAAATAAAAAAAATTGGTAAATAAAAAAAATAGTAAATATAGGTCATCTGAAAGAATACTGTTAAGACATTTCCCCCACACCATAACAGTGGTATAAAACATGAACATGACGCTTGATAGGATCCACAATAAAGTAAGAAAATGTCTGTTCGTGACTCTTTGTTGAAGGGTAGCACACACCAACAGAATCCTGAAAAAGATAAACTTAAATTATTTAGTATACAACTACATTTAAATGATAACCAACATACTTAATATATTTCCTGTTAAAATGTCATGCAACATATATAAAATCTTTGACAATTGGCAGTTAATTTTAAAAAAATATCGATACACAAACATGTTTAATTCTTGACTTAAGGGAATTTATAGTCCAAAAGGAACTCTGTCTTTTGAAAAAGTGCTTATACAGTGCTAATATTACAAAAATTCCTATTTTGCAATTTTCTTTTATCTTTGCTTTCTTTTAAAGCTTGGTCCATATGTACTATGAGGGACCATGTTTCTTTTGTTTATCAACAAAAAGCACCTAGCCCAACACAGTAGCTAATACACAGTAAATACTTAATAAATATTGAACTGATTGAATGAAGATACTTAGAAAGTGGTTCATATGTGCCAATAATTGTTTGTATGATACTAAAATTCAAGCATCTGATTCTGTGATATAAAGATATTTATGGTATTCTTTCTTACTTGACCTATAAATTGTGATTTGACAGAGAACTTATGTTTTACTCCATGAGTCACAGATTTAGCTTTTAACTAAGTAGGGACTATTATTAGACATTTACGTCTGAAAGGGAACTAGGGGGGAAGAGTTCATACTGTTCTCCAAATAAAAGTATACCTTATCAACTTTTAAGTTTAATAAAAAATTAAATATGATCATCTCTTTTCCTAGGCATAACATAGACCTAGTTGCTAACTCCAGTTGTAACAACCCTCTTAATAGCAAGTAATTAAATTCTTTGGTAGTAAATTTCCCCTCCACTTACATATGCTGTAACTTTAAAGATGAAAGAGGTAATTTGTATTTCCTTAGTTTGAGGATGCTTTCGAACACTAAAATAGGGAGGGAAAAGTACATTTTGAATATAACAAGCACTGAATAATACACTTAAAATGTTGAACTTTTCAGTATTCAGGTGTTCTTAATCATAAATAACATGGAAATATATACTATCCAACTAGAGCTGTCTGAACAGGGTGGCAGCTGCAATTTCAATCAAGAATGATGCAAAGTCAACTGAGTTGAAATTGCAGAAAATTGAATTTTAGAGGTCAGTCTGAGATTCAAATGATGAAATGACTCCCAGGCCAGAGACAATTACTGGAAAAACAGGTATTGGTAAAAATTCAGATTGAAGTGCAGACAGCTGTAAGGGGTAGATAAATGCATACTAAACTATAGAATTATACAACCTAAACACAAATGCCAATTCTGCCACCAATTTATTTTACTTTGGGCAAGATTAACATTTCTGAACCTCAATTTCCTTATATGTAAATGGAGCATATTGTGGTTCCTTTTAGGATTATAGGAGAATTAAGTGGGATAATGTATATAGAAACTATTTATTAAATTATGTATTACTAAATTATATAATAATTAACAGTAGCTCTCTCTCAGTTACATTCCCAACAAAACATTGCCTGTGGCAATACATAGTGAGGAAGCAAACTGAGGATTGAGGAAATAAGCTACAGACAGGTATCTATGTATAAATATATACAGATGATATTTATAATGCTTTACAATCTACAATCTACCTTTATATAATTTACCTCATAAAGATCACACAACTCAGTGAGGTAGGCATCATTTTGTCAATTTTATAAACAATAGTATTAGAAAAGTTAAATTATATAAGACATTCCAACTAAAAGTGGTATTTCTGGGAATAGAACTGAGGAGACACAAAGTCCAGTTCTCTTTCCCTACACCTCACCTTTTTATCCTATACCTACACTCTAGAATACATATACATCAAGGGTATTATTCAGGTGTGAAGTGTAGGTTAAATTTAAAGGAAACTATCCCTCTTCTTCACTTTATCAGGTGAAAGCATTGGTTCTCCTTCACTACTTATATAAAAGTAATGAGAGAGAGGGAAAGGAAGTAGGTGGACTTTGTGGAAGGATAAGGGGTGTGTGTGTGTGTGTTAGCTTGTACACCGATTGGGAATGGCCAGAACCATTTCAGGGTTCAAGATTCTTAGGCAGTTTTCATCTCTAAAATATTTCATTCTGATTTAAACCCATGAATCACATAATTAAATTGATTTCCATTTATTTCTATGACATGGGTTGAGGTCATTTTCTTTTATTTCTCTAGTGGCCAAGATACACTGTTTAAAAGTTGATAACTACGTTTATTTTTATTGTTGAAAGTATTACAGCTGTCCCCTTTTTTCCCCTACTGACCCCCTCCTTCCTGCTCCTATCCCCCTCCTGGCTTCCCTAGCCTACTGTCCTTGTCTGAAGACTACATTTAAAATGCTGTGCTATGACCACTACATATAAAACACTTGTATACATCTACATAACCAACCAGATCAAACGTATCTACAGTTATATGTCACTTTAAATATGGATCTGGTGGTGTTTATATGGACGTAAACATATATAAAAATTCACAAACCTGTATGTACATACATATGATTTGTTCACTTTAGTGTATGGAAGTTACTGCTCAGCTTTAAAAAAAAAAAAACAACCCTTTTAAAAGTTTGTGCTTATCAAATAAACTTAGAGGAAAATTCAGTATTTGATTCTTCATTTAAAAACCATATATATTAACATGTATCATAAGTGTATTTTTTAAAAATCCACATTTATTTTTTTTTAATTATTGATTTTAGAGCGCGAATGAGAGAGAGAGAGAGGGAAGAGAAAGAGAGAGAGAGAGAGAGAGAGAGAGAGAGAGATTTGTTGTTCCACTTATTTGTTCATTCATTGGTTGATTCTTGTATGTGCCCTGACTGGGGATCAAACCCGAAACTTTGGAGTATCAGGATGATGCTCTAACCAACTGAGCTATTCAGCCAGGGCCCATAAGTGTATTATTTTAAAAAGAAACTACAGCCCTGGTCGGTTTGGCTCAGCGGTTAGAGTGTCAGCCTGCGGTCCAGAGAGACCCAGGTTTGGTTCCTGCTAAGGGCACATACCTAGGTTGCAATTTGTCCCCGGTCCTGGTTGGGTTGTGCGGGTGGCAACCACTTGATGTGTCCCTTTCACGTCAATGTTTCTCTCTCTCCCTCCCACTCCAGCTGAACAAAAAATGAAAAAAAAAAAAAAATGTCCTCGGGTGAGGAAAAAAAAACAAAAAAAGAAACTACAATTTACACATTAGAAGTTGGTTCCTAACAGAAATAAATCATATTACTCCATTTTATTACTTCTAATCCTATATTGCTATTACTTTAAAATATCTCATAGGATAATTTGTCTAATTTCTTATAGGTCAAGTACAGTATCACATGTTTGATATATCTTAAGAAAAAAAGAAAAGGAAATGTAAAGTGATATTCATCAGATATGCTACTAATAATTGCATTGTATCAAGTTTTAGCAATCATTACCTCACTCTCCAGATAACCACAGTTTCGAAGGATGCTGGGACATAATTTCCATATAGTTCTTTTTATTTTTTTAAATGGTAGGAGAGTTAAAAAAAAATTTCATGTATTGATTTGAGAGAGAAACATCAATTTATTGTTCCACTTATTTACGCATTCATATGTGCCCTGACCAGGGATTGAACCCACAAACTTAGCATATTGAGATGACTCTCTAATCAAATGAGCTACCCAGCCAAGGCCCATATAGTTCTTTTTAAAATCGTGTTTATATTAATGATCTAGAAATAAAATAATAAATGGTTTCTTAATATCATTTGTGCTTATTTCTGAGGATCAGCCCTGTATTGACTCTAAATATGGTATACAGACCATTCTAGGTAACTCTGCTCATTTTAAGAAACAAAACCCCCAGTGCTTAATTAGCATTCAAAGGCCATAATCTAAGCCTCTCAGTTCAAATTATAAAATTTCACATCTGGGACAGATATGTAGTTTGGGGAACCTCTCCAAAAACTTTGACAAGAGCATGTGTTTAATGTCTAAAGTAGAAAAGACACAGGCACCATTAGTAACTGTAGAATTATTTCTGCATAGATATTTTTGAAATGTAATGAAACAATCATTTACTTTCTAATAAAATGGGTCTAAAGTATTATCTATATTTTTAAGGAACCATAATACTTAAAAATAAAGCATTTTCCAAAACATTTTAAAGGTGTATTTTATAGGACTTGTAAAAATGGGTTAGAGATAAAATATCTTGAGAATGTTTTTATTCTTTTGTTTGAGCCCAAGACTCCTAAGATCAGGCTCTATAATGTGGCCCCAACATCCACAAATGTAAGAATGGACTTCTTTGACAGAATGGATTACTGATGACATTTATCTACAAGGGTAGGTTAGATACTGTAAAGCAGCTGCTGCATGTATAACTAAAAAGATAGCAGATCTTTTTCTAACTAATGTAAAAGCATCCAAAATTCATGTAAAAGGAACAGGGGGAAAATATATCCTTCTTGGTTAAATTGGTTTGTACAAATGACTTGATTGGATATGTGGCTCACAATTCTGATAAGTTACTGATGAAACTTCAAGTACTACCTATGTGTCCTCTACTTACATATTTCTTGATAACTGCTATATTGATCCACCCTACATCTTTACCTTAACCAAGTGACCTAGCATCTGATCCAAATCAGCATGACCATTATTAGAAAAGCCTCAAGCAGCGCATATAATAAGCAAACCAGCATAGCTCTTAAGAAAGTCCGAAATAAATTACTCCACTCAATTACTTCGTGTTGGCACTTAAGCCATCTTAAACAAATACTTATTCTAATTATAATTTTCTACTGAAGTTGCTCTAGAAAGACAATTTCATAGCCCCTCTTCATTCAGCAAAGAGATTCATAAGCGTACTTAAATTTGGATCACGAGAGAAATATTTATGATTCTAAAAAAAAGTTAAGCTATAATTGGGCTGGGCTCCTTCTCAGCCTCCACTGGCATGAGGACTCGTGGTACATCTCCCCTGAACTGGGAACAGACTGCCCTCCTCTTTGCTGGCCCTCGTGGACTCTACTTGTATCATCAAGACTTCCCTGACTGCTGATATTGACAATTTCCTCTCTTTAATTTCTTAAGTATTTATTAAAGTATAAAGAGCTATAAACATTTGCCTATAATTAATTGAACATTTGATTATATAAAAATGTTTACTTGTATAAGATTTTAAACAATTACTTTACTATTATTTAATGTTAGTTTGTTGTAATTTATTTATGGTCAAGGACTGTCTGATGCTCCTCCTGTAGTCTCTTTACAGTTTGGCAGAGTTCTGTGCACAATATTCACACTTGCTAGCTGCCTGATTGAGTAATTCCATGGACACAATTACTGTTTGTCTGTAAGATGTCATGAATTTTGGCTACTCATTTAATGAGTGGCCATTGTTCTAAGTTAAACTTTTTCTTAGCACCCAAAAAATGTAGAAAAGAATCACAGGTAAGAATCAATGGAAGGGAATGTTGGGGAAAACAGAAGTTTCTTCGATGTTTAGGTTCTAGAGTTACTTCTGTTTCAAATATCTCCAATAGAATTTCCTCCTCCACATTTCATGGTAGTGAGGAATTCCACAGGTTCATGAGGCTGATGAGAAACAACACACTGTGGTGGCAGTGGTGTGTGTGTGTGTGTGTATGCATCTAGGGTGTAATGAGAAGTATCTACAGGGAGTGCTAGAAGCGGTCTTATAAGTTTTCATGAGCTGCAAATGATAAGGACTGAATATGTTTGATGTAGGTACATGTATGCTTTTTCTGAAATTCTGTTTCTAATATATCTTTTCCAACAATCTTTAATAACTTTCATAAGAATCAGAGACTGCTTATAAAATATTTTTGTTTTTAAAACCATATATCAAAAACTAAATAAAATAGCTAAATCATGTAATTTGTTGTATAGCTTTATATGACACATGGATTGGATAAGAGAACTGAAGTGTTGAGTATGAGTAAGTAACAATGAAGAGTTTACTAAGAAGCAAAGTCTGTTGTTTTCCTGGTAAAGCAAACTTTAAAACTAAACTCTGGGACTCTTGGTTTCATTTGTTCCTATCCCCTTTTGCCTATAAAGATGATCCAATATCCTCATCACTGAAAAAACCCAACCAAAGAACTTTCACTTCATTTAATATTAAATTATAAATAAAAGATACAAAGTTTTTATCCTCATGTGATCTTCAGAAAAACAACAACAAAAAACACCCCTAGAAGAACACCTAAAACAAAATGAGATTTGAGATTAGTTTGAAAAAGTAAAGATTATACCTAGATAAAAATTCTTCCATTTCTTTAGAACAAAGGTAATCTTTTTTTTTTACTATTAGTCAAGCAAATTCAAACATCCCAAGGGATCTCATGTTCTCTTGAGATTTAATAGGAGGCCCGGGGTAAAACAAAAAAAAGAGAGAGGGAGGGGGAAGAGGAATCAGCGGTGGGGTGGGGGGGGACATCTGTAACAAAAATAAATGATTTAAAAAAAAAAGAGAGACAGAGACCTGGAAGATGGCAGTTGCTAATGAGGAATGGAGCAGGTAACAGGTCTGAATGAGGAAACAAGAAGAGGCAGATGAAGAAGGAGGGGACTGCCCTGGCCGGTTTGGCTCAGCAGTTAGAGCATCAGCCTGCGGTCCCGAGAGACCCGGGTTCAGTTCCCGCTAAGGGCATGTACCTTGGTTGCAGTTTGTCCCCGGTCGTGCGGGTGGCAGCCACTGGATGTGTCCCTTTCACATCAGTGCTTTCCTCTCTCTCCCTCCCACTCTACCTGAACAAAAAATGTCCTCAGGTGAGGCTAAAAAAAAAGGAGGGGACTGAGCTCTGAAAGAGGATTTAGAAGTGTAGACATTTTCCAGCCTGGAAGAGAAGGAGGCTATAACGGGTCATGGTGGTGCCATTTTTATATACTTTAGTTGCTAATAAGACCAAGAACAGATGCTGGGTAATCCCACAATAGTTAAACAAATAATTTACACTATTAACCAGAGGTTTACATTTTGTAATCTAGCAACATTACCTCACTAGATCCTTATAGATAAGCTTTGTTGTTTCCAGATATGGATTAAGCACATCCTCGTATTGACAAAGGGCTCCACCAAGGCAAAGATGTTTGAAAAGACAAAACAGAAACTCTTCTCTATCTGGTTGGCTGAATATTTCATATTTTTCTGAGTCTTCCACTAGCAAAACCTATGTAAAATGATAAAATTCATCTTAATGTAACATAATATGAGGTTCTAATTTTTATGTTTTTGAAATTTTCAACTTATACATTTAAAAATAATCTAAGTCCTACTTTAATAAGCAACCTGAGGCCATTGGAGGAGAGAGTAATCTGTGAGACCTTTACACTTGTTTTCACCCCATTTTATCGTTAGGTACTGACCTTCAAAGAAAGAAATGTCTAAATCCATGCCTTCTTTTCTACTTTATTTCTTTGTTCTAGGTTGCATCTTCAGTAATTATTTTAGTGTTATTGCAATTTAATGTTGAGTCACCTTACATTTTATTTGAAAACAAGAGGCACAAATAAATGGAGAAATTTCTCCATCGCATTATGTCTGTAAGTCTTTGCCTCTGTGAAGGCTAAACACAATGGTCATTTTCTAGGTTCTCTCACCTTACAGTGTTTGGATCACTACTTTCCTTACCCACCCTCCTAGTTACTCCATTTTGAACTATTCAGGTAATTAGAACCTCATAACTACCTCTCCTTTTTCTGCTCTCCTCTAATAGTATAACCTTACACATCACCAGTCTACTTGAGACCTTGCTACTGATTACAGGAAATAGTTTGACTAGGTCTGATGTTGGGGATTTTCTTACACCATTAGGCATTAAAGACGATTAATTTGTTGACTATGGTAGACATGAACAAAGTGATGAATGTACATAATACATATTTCTTTTATTAAATTGTTTATATCCCACCTACTTTTAAAAAGAAGGTAAAACAGCCCTGACCAGTTTGGCTCAGTGGTTAAGAGCACTGGCCTGTGGTCCTGGGAGACCCGGGTTCGGTTTCCGCTAAGGGCATGTATCTCGGTTGCAGTTTGTCCCTGGCCCTGGTTGGATTGTGTGGGTGGCAGCCACTCAATGTGTCCCTTTCATGTTGATGTTTCTCTCTCTCTCTCTCTCCCACTCTATCTGAACAAAAATATCGAAAAATGTCCTCGGGTGAGGATAAAAATAAATAATTAAATGAATAAATGAATAAATAAATAAATAAATAAATAGAAGGTAAAATAGCTAACAATACAGATGAAATAAGATAATAATAATAGGCAAAAACTGTTACTAAGAAATAAAATGGGAAGAAAAAACAAATACACATAAGGAACTCTAAATGGACAAAAGCTATAAAAATTGTACACACAGATAAAAGAGGGAAATGTAAGTTACATAGCAATCACTGTCTAGTAGCAAGAAGTACACATACTTAAAAAAATTGATTAAGCTTAATACTTTATTTACCCTAATCTCAATGAAAATTCATCACAAGGTCATTATATGAGACATTAAAAAAAATAATAAACTTACCTGGCTGGTTTTGCTCAGTGGTTGAGCGTCGACCTATGCACCAAGAGGTCACTGATTTGATTCCCAGTCAGGGCACATGACTGGGGTTGCAGGCTTGATCCCCGGTAGGGGGCATACAGGAGGCAGCTGATTAATGTTGATGTTTCTCTTTCCCATTGATGTTTCTATCTCTCTTTCCTCCCTTCCTCTCTCTCAAAAAAATCAATGAAGAAATAAAAATAAAATAATAAACTTGCCTTGGCCAGTTTTCTTAGTGGTTAGAGCATTAGCCTGCAGACCAAAGAGTCTTGGGTTCAATTCATGTACCTGGGTTGCAGGTTGATCCCCAGCTCTGGTTGAGGTCATGCAGGAGACAAACAACTGATGTGTCTCTCTTACATCAATGTTTCTCTCTCTATCCCCGCCCCCCCCCAACAACCACAAAAAATAATAATAAACTTATGGTGCTGTCTATATACAGTTTACTTATAATGACTTGATGAAAACCAAAGTTATGTCTAGTAGAAGATAGGTAAGGAGAAGTGGTCTGTAGTTCACTGCTCTCTGGGTGTGCTGCTGGCACATTTCCCTTCTTTCTCTCCCTCCCCCTCTGTAAGGAATGACGTGATACTAAAGCCCAAGTTTATAGCTATCTAAAGATTTGGCTTAATACAAGGGTGACTAAAGCCCTTAAGAATGAACAGTTTAAAGCCTGGCCGGTGTGGCTCAGTGGTTGAGCGTCAACTCATGCACCAAGAGGTTACCAATTTGGTTCCTGGTCAGGGCACATGCCCAGGTTGTCGGCCCGATCCCCGTGGGGGACAGGCAGGAGACAGCCAATAGATGTTCTCTTGTATCGATGTTTCTATCTTTCCCTCTCCTTTCCTCTCTCTCTCAAATCAATAAAGAAAAAAAAAGTATGAACAGTTTAAATATATGGTAATGGAAGATGATTTGACTTTAGGTGGTGGGCACACAATGCAATATACTGATCATGTATCATAGAAAGGTGCACTTGAAACCTATATAAGTTTATTAAACAATGTCACCTCCATAAATTTAATTTAAAGAATGAATAGTTAACACATTCCTTTTGAGCACTCTCATGTATTGAATTGATTAGGCCGTGCAATTTAAAAATTTTTGGAATGATTGTTAAATAATAACATTCTATGGTTGATCTCCCTCTCCATTCACACATAGACCAGTTTAGTTGTGTAGCCCTCAGAGATTTGGTATACAATGGTTAATGAGTCCAACTGCCGAGCTGCGGTCAGAAAGGAGGTTATTATCATTAGTACTTAAGTTACACAGTGTGCCAACAGAATCCGTGTTGCTGTACAATGGGGGACCCTTTTTATTTCAGGTAAACCTGGAATTTATTTATTTAGTTTTCAGTCAGAAAATAACCAAGTTAAAACTTTCCCAGTTGCCACTGAGTGGCAAAGAACACAAGAGTAAAACATACAGGCAACAAGCAGAAAAGCAGAGTCCCAGCACTTCCTGAATAGAGGTGCTATTCATGGCATAAATAAGACAGGTCACAGCAGGCAGTTTTAAACAGAGTACTCTGTTGGAAAGCAAATCCTCCTTTTTAAAAAGTCCATTGCTGAGGCTCTCTCTGTAGAGGTGTTGGTGAACTCTCCAAAATTAGGAGTAAAGGCCTTGAGACAAAAAGGTTAAGTATGCCAACAAAGATCAGTGACAGAGAGAAGAGCTGAGCTTAGTCGTATCTAAAAGGAGAGAAACCAAGACTAGACCAGACACTTTCTGAATAATTTCCAATCCTTGGTAAGAAGGAGCAGAAGGTAAAATCAGATCCCCACTGTATAGTATTTATATTACCTTGTTATACATAAATTCACTTAAGACCAAATGATATATAGTCTCATTCAATTGGGTGAGTTTGGTTATTCTTAATTAGTTCATTTTATTTTCTTAAACTAAGAGTTCTCTTAGGCACTGTACTAGTGTAGAGCAATGTACAGACTAGCTGGATGCCTCCTGATCTCCTACAGACAAGATTTCTGTGTCCACTATGGTGCATCAGTAGCATCGCTAGTTCATTCCTATCTAGATTTATGATATATTAGACTTGTACATCTCCCTTCTCTCTTAATGTAGAATAATAGTAATTAGTAGTAGTAGTAAATATTATCAAAAGCTCACTAACAGCCAGGCATTGTGCTAAGCACTTTAAATGAATTATCTCACATAATTCTTATACTAGTCCCATTTTATAGATAAAGAAACTGAGGCTTAGAGATATTAAGTATCAGTTATAAAGCAGCAGAGCCTGGATTTGAATCTACATGTATTTGATAACAAAGCCCTAATTAGTAACCACTTTGTAAATACTCTTTCTCAATAATTAAAATAATGATAAATAATATTTCATTTTAACAGCATTTCATGCTTTTTAAAAAGTACATTTAAATGCTTCCTCCACTCTTTTTCTCAACAATTTCAGGAAGAAGGTAGAATTAACATTTTAAAATATTTAGATTTTAGAGAGAGAAGAAGGAAAGAAGAGGGAGAGAGAGAGAAACATACATCAATTTGTTGTTCTACTTATTTATGTATTCACTGGTAGATTTTTATACGTGCCCTGACCAGAAATGGAACTTCCAACCTTGGTATATTGGGATGACACTCTAAGCAACTGAGCAACCTGGCCAGGACCTAGCAGGGACATTTTAATCTTCATGTTGTACAGGTAAGATCTTGAGGCTCAACATATTGAATGATTTGCCTATAGTTATTACTATCTTGCAGGTAACTCAGAAATTATGTAAATAATCCATGTCTTCTGATTTCAAGTTCAGTATATCTCTCACTATAACAAAAATTAACTTAATCAAATGGCTTTTTAATTTTTTTTATCCTCACCCAAAGACATTTTTGCATTTATCATCAGATAGAGTGGGAGGGAGAGAAGGGAGAGAGAGAGAAACATCTACACGAGAGAGACATATCGACTGGTTGCCACCCACACAACCCCAACCAGGGCCGGGGACAAACTGCAACCGAAGTACATACCCTTAGTGGGAACTGAACCCAGGACTCTCTGGTCTGCAGGCTGCCACTCTAACCACTGAACAAAACCGGCCAGGCATCAAATGGCTTTTTTGATCTTAGTGATGAAATGAAAAGATTCTTTTACTCCAGATATGTTTTTAAATACTCATTTGGTATGTTAAGAGCCCCACATTGAGAAAAAATAGCCATCAATTACATAGGTTAGGATTTCTCTACCTTAGTACTGTACTACTGACATTTTGGGCCAGATAACTTTGTTGTGAGGGGCAGTGCTGTGTATTGTATGATGTTTAGCAGCATCCTTGGCCTCAACCCATCAGATGTCAGTAGCACTTCGTTGATAACTACTGAAATACACAAATAATTAAGTTGATACTTAAAGTCTCACCCAAGAAGAAATCTACCAATGTAATGATTATTACTGATCATTATTCATTGATAAGAGATATTTTATGGGTTTTAGACAGGCAAATTTTTTGACATGAAGCATTTCCTGATATAAAATTATATTGTGAAATTTTAAAATTCTGTACTTACCTTTCGTAACTCATCAGAAATGAGAAAAGGATCACAAAAAGAATCTAAACATTTAACAATATGTCCACTGTCTCGTACAATATCTTCATTGTATAACCGTTTAAAAAATGACATTGAAAGCTGTGTGCAAGGAACATTTAGAGCTTCAATTTTTTTCACTTCAGTTCCTGAAAAAAGATATTTTATAAATAGACATATAAACATTAATTTAATATTCTCAATTACTTAAAAGTAAGCATTACTATGTAGAGCTTCAAAGTAATAGAATCTGACTTTTATTTAAAAGATGCATTAGTTTAAGAATTTTATTAAATTATTTTGCAGCTTTTTCATTTTATTATTAAAAGTTTATAGAAAAATTTCACCATTTCATGTCTAGATGAAGGATATGTAAATTAGGAAGTGTTTTAAAATAGCCCTGGCAGGTTTGGCTCAGCAGTTAAAGCGTGGGCCTGCGGTCCAGAGAGACCCGGGTTCGGTTCCTGCTAAGGGCATGTACCTTGGTTGCAGTTTGTCCCCCGCCCTGGTTGGGTCGTGAGGGTGGCAGCCACTCGATGTGTACCTTTCATGTCAATGTTTCTCTCTCTCTCTCTCTCCCTCCTGCTCTATCTTAACAAAAAATAAATAAACAAAATACATTGTTTTGTGTACAGTAGGGATTTCTTAGATAAGTTCTAATGCATGTATCAGAATTGCCTATAAAAGCACTGGTATTACTTTATTTTTTTAATTTTTAATCCTCACCTTAGGATAGTTTTCCATTGATTTTTAGATAGAATGGAAAGGAGGGGAAGGAGGAAGAGAAACATCAATGTGAGAAAGACACATCGATTGGTTGCCTCACTGGGACTGGGGATCAAACCTGCAACCCAGGTACTCGACCTTGACCAGGAATCAAATCTGCGACCCTTCAGTTCACGGGCTGATTCTCTAACCACTGAGCCAAACTCGCCAGGGCAGGAATTACTTTTTTTAAAAAATTTTTGCCTTTATTGATTTTTAGAGAGAGAGGAAGGGAGAGGGAGAGAGAGACAGAAACATCAATGAGAGAGAATATCAATCAGCTGCCTCCTGAATGTACCCCACTGGGGATCGGGCCAATAACCTGGGCATGTGCACTGACTGGGAATTGAACCAGTGACCTCTTGGTACATGGGTCGATGCTCAACCACTGAGCCACACTGGCTGGGAAGGAATTACTTTATATGACTTTGGATTTGCATTATACTTAATGCCTATTACAAACATTTTAATTAATATACCTAATGGGTATTTCTAAAGTCCTTGAGGAAGTCTTGAAAATGTTCCTCTTCATTTAAAAATCTTCACTGTGATTTCATTTACAGTGTTCATTGCAAAAAAGTAAATACTATACAGAGGTCCTGGTTCAATTACCAGTCAGGGCACATGCCTTGGTTGTGGGCTTGATCGCAGTAGGAGACATGCAGGAGGCAGTTGATCAATGCTGCTCTCACATCGCTGTTTCTGTCTCTCCCCCTTTCTCTCTTTCTAAAAAAAACAATAAAAACAATTTAAAAAGTATATAAAGATTACAGTGATATTTTTATTACTGCCTCAATGAATCATTCAACTTCTCTCTTTTATGCACCCACACATATACATGCTTTCACTCAGATATAGAGGGGTGGTAGTCTTCATTCTTCAAAGTTCCAGGGAGATTGTAGACCAAGGTGTTGTGGTCCTTGGTATGTCCTCTTCCCATACATTTGCCAGATCTTTCACCTGAGAAATCACTTGAGATTCAGAGGAATAATACTGGTGATTATTTGTATTTCCTCTTTCTGACTGTCCACCTAGAGTCCTGCTAGGTGGGCTAGTGTAAAGGCAAGAAGGATGCCCAGAGCCAGGAACTGTAGATGCCTCAATAATTTCAAAAGTAATGCTAAGAAACTCGAAACATTAATTTGAAAGAATATATGTACCCCTATGTTCATTGCAGTGTTATTTACAATAGCCAAGATTTGGAAGCAGCCCAAGTGTCCATCAGATGAGTGGATAAAAAAGCTATGGTACATTTATACAATGGAATACTATTCTGCCATGAAAGGGAAGACAATTTCATCCTTTGCGACAGCATGGATGGACCTGGAGAAAACTATGCTAAGTGAAATAAACCAGTCAGAGATAAACGAGTACCATATGATTTTACTCATATGTAGAATTGAATGAACAAACTGAACTATCAAGCAAAATAGAGACAGACTCATAGATAGAGAGCAGGCAGACAGCTCTGGTGAGGGGTTGGATGTTGGTGGTGGTGGGGGGAATTAAGAAAAAAAGAGAGAGAAGTCATGAACATGGACAACATTGTGGTGATTGCAGGCAAGAGGGGGTGGGTGAAGGTAGAAGAGGGCATAGAGAGGATAAATGGTGATGGAAAAAATAAAATAATAAATGAAATAAATACCTGTTGTCAAGCAAAAAAAAAAAGGTAATGCTGCTAAGAAAAGCTCATTTTGTTTTAGAGGCAAAATCTTCTGGGGGATTAAAGGGAAAAGACCACAGAAAATGATGGAGTAGGTCTAATCAATATTAGAAGACCAATGAAACAAGAGCAATGAAGAGCAAGACAGTCTTTGAAGATGGATTGGTGGTCACAGAACGAGGGATTAACATTGGGCAACCTGCCATTTTAACAAATGTACCCAAGTTCTGATTTGAGGAGTGACAGGAGGGTTTGGATGGTGAGAGAAGATAATAAATACAAACTACTTAATCTGAGGCATAAAAATAGCATTTGCACACAATGGAATACTATGCAGCGGTAAGAAAGAAAAATCTCTTATCCTTTGAGACGACATGGAGGGACCTGGAAAGTATTATCCTAAGTGAAAGAAGCCAAGCAGAGAAGGACAAATACCACATGATCTCACTTATATACGGAATATAATGAACACAACAGTCTGAGGAATACAGTAGACCCAGACACATGGAAGTGGGGCACAGACTGACATCCCTCAGAAGAGGGGATGGGGGGTGGGAGGGGTGGGAAGAGATAAACCACAGAACTTATATGCATGTATGCATGACCAATGGACATGGACAACTAAGCCGGGGACAGGGTGGAGGGGTGGGGTGGGGGGTGCCAATGGGGTAAAAAGGTAAAATATCTGTAACAAAAAAATAAATAAATAAATAAAATTTCAAAAAAAAAAATAGCATTTGCTATGGACTGAATTATATCCCTCTAACATTAATATACTGAAGTCCTAACCCCCCAATGAAAAGGTATTTGGGCATGGGGCCCTTGGTAAGTAATTAAGGTTAGATGAGGTCATGGGGTGAGGTTAGGACTGAAATAAATGAATTTTGAAGGGACACAATTCAGTCCATAACATTCTGCCCCTGGACCCCAAAATTCATGTCCTTCTCATATGCAAAATACATTTATTCTATCCCAACAGCACCAAAAGTCTTAATCATTCCAGCATCAACTCTAAAGTCTAAAAGTACAAAGTCTCATTTAAATATCATCTAAATCAGGTATAAGTGAAACTAGGGGTATGATTTATCTTGAGGCAAAATTTCTCTCCAGCTAAAAACCTGTGAAACCAGAGAAGTTATGTGCTTCTGAAATACAATGGTGAGACAAGTATAGGGATAGACACTTCCATTCCAAAAGAGAGAAATAGGCCCTGGCCGGTTTGGTTCAGTGGTTAGAGCGTCGGCCTGCGGTCCTGAGAGATGCGGGTTCGGTTCCCACTAAGGGCGCGTACCTCGGTTGCAGTTTGTCCCCGGCCCTGGTCGGTTGTGTGGGTGGCAGCCACTCGATGTGTTCCTTTTGCATCGATGTTTCTCTCTCTCTCTCCCTCCCACTCTACCTGAACAAAAAATAGAAAAATGTCCTCGGGTGAGGATAAAAAAAAAAACAAAAACCAAAAGAGAGAAATAGGAAAGAAGAAATGATGATTCCAGGCAAGCCTAAAACTTATCAAGGCAAATTCCATTAGATTTAAGCCCCAAAATAATCCTCTTTGGTTCATTGCATTGCATTCCAGATCCACTAGGGCAGTGGCCCCACCTCTGAGATTCTCTCCCCAAGTGTGTTATTGAAATTGAAGGGGTGGCCCTGATACTCTTTGGATTGCACTGTAAGCTCTTTTGTTTTCTTGAAAAATAGAGCATGTTTGCAGCCAAATGGCTCCATGATATGGTCCTGTAGGATCTAAGATGTTTGACAGCCATCATTTCATTTTGTTTTTTTCTGTTCCCTTTTGTTCAAGCTGGCAGTGTCTTTGCTGGTACAATCCCCATCTCTATTTCTGGCTTCTGCTGAAATGGCCGATTAAGTCCACAGATTGAACCCCGGAGATCTCTTTATCAAATAGTAGCTCAGCCACACTCTTAGTATTCCCTTTAGAACAAACTTTCTCATTTTTTTCAACATGGATATGCTGATAATTTTCCAAATCCTCAATTTCTGGTTCCTTTTTGCTTAACAATTACTTGTTCACTTCATCTCTCTTTTTTCATTTTCTACTTTAAGCATTTTAAAGGAACTAAGCTACTCCTCTGACACTCTGCTTAGAAGTCTCCTCAGTTAAACTTCCATTTTTATCACTTGTAAGTTCTACCATTCACAAAACACAAAAACAATTCAGCCAAGTTCTCTGCCATTTTATGACAAGAATTGCCTTTCCAATAACATGGTCCTCATTTCCATCTGAAATCTCACTGGAATCAACCTTAATATCAGTATTTCCAGCGTGCACCTCAAAACTGGTCCAGCCTATATCCATTTCCATTACACAGTTTTAAAGCCACTTCCACATTTTTAGGTATTTGTTACAGCAGCACTCCCCTTCCAAAATTGGTATTAGTTAGATCGAGCTGCTATCACAAAATATCATAGACTGAGTGGCTTAAACAGACATTTATTTCTCACAGTTCTGGAGGCTGGGTATCCCAAGATCAAGGTGCTGGCTGATTAGATTTTCTTGGTTTGCAGGTGGCTGCCTTCTACCTTTGTCCACACATTGTACAGAGAGCTCTGCTATTTCCTCCTCTTCTTATAAGGGCATTAATCCAATCATGAGGGTCCTGTAAGACCTCTTATAAACCCAATTAACTCCCAAAGGCCTCATTTCCAAATACCATCACATTAAAGGGATAAGGCTTCAACATAAGAATTTTTTTGGGGGGGTGGGAAGAATTTTGGAGTAGTACAATTCAGTCCATAGCACATGCTGTCTGTTATGTAGGAATTTGGTTAAATTATGTCTCCAGCATTTATAAGATATATAATGTATCATTATGATCACATAGAAAGTTAAAAAAGGATTATATTCCCCCTTAATAATAGTATTATAATACACTGGGTGTCTCATTTTAAATGTGTCAAACTTGGTGCTTTTCAGGCAACCTCATTAATGTAGAAGTGGCAGAGGCAGGATGGTGTAGCGGTCAGGGTACTGAATTCTGGAGCCTGGATTTGAATCTCAACTCTACCTAGCCAGCTGTGCAAAACTGTGTAAATTACTTAGCTCGTGCCTCTGACTCCTCATTTATGAAATAGGGATATATAATAACTTCTCTCAGAGTTGTTTTGAGAATAATATATACAATACTCTTAACTGAGCACACAGAAAGCACCCATTTTATGTAAGTCAAAAAAGGGCAAAGTGTGTCTAAATGAAGGAGGCTATGGCACCTGGCTGAGAGGATGAAGCAGCACTAACAACCAGCAATCAGGGTAGTGCAGCCAGCAGTGAAGGAGGTTTCATCTCACTCTTTTTAACATTGGTTCACTTGCTAGAAGAATGTTCTTTCTCTCATTTTAAAAAGCTGTTTCTTCACTTATCAAGGCCCTCAAAGGAAAATTAGAGAGAAGACCATATTTCAGAAGAAGAAAAGTACAGAGAGGAAGATAAAAACAAACTAAAGGAAGAATACTTGCAAACCACTAGAAACGTCTGCTTCTGAAATGAGTGCTACCTCTTCTACCCTGTTTTTCAGAGTACTAATTGATTCTGTCAGGCGCATGTGGAGTTTTAGAATCTCTCTTTTTGCAATACTTCTTTAAACACTGGAAAAAAGTCAGTAATTTGTGAAGTATGTACCAACATGAGGGAAGGTTGAATACTTTTCTCAATGAACCTTATTTTTTGTAAATGAATTGACTAGTTACTGTAAACATGCTTTATAAACACAGTGATACATAGCTCTAATTATTTCCTTTTGAAGATTCTGAATTGGTAAATATATTTGCTCAGATACTCAGTTTAACTTTGTAAGTAGTCTGAAGATCATGCTGTACCAGCTTTTTACTTTACAAATTTTGCAGTAGTCCTTTAGCCAAAAGCAATAAAATCTGACCTACCAAGTCTAACATCATGAACTGTTTGTAGTCTTGTTTTTGACTAATACCAAGAAAAGTTATTTTTTGCAAGGTTACTAGAATTCCATAAAAATTCAATGTAAGAATTCACCAAAACAACCCCATCCAATTTAAAGTCGACTTGCTTTTTCTTGAGTACAAATTCACATCACCAACCAGATTTTCCTTCTAAATGGAATGATGATTGTTAAGAGGCCTCAATCTAAAATTTAAAATATAGTGTTCGTGTACAAATTGATGGTTGCCAGGAGATGGGATTAAGTACAAATTGCCAGTTACAAAAACAGTCATGGGGATGTAAAGTACAGCCAACATTAGGAAAATAGTCAATAATACTGTAATAACTATGTTTGGTGTCACATGGGTACTAGAATTATTGGGGAGGGGAATCACTTCATAAATTATATAAACGTCTAATCATGGGGATGTACACCTAAAACTAAAATAATATTGTATGTCAACTATAATTTTAAAATTAAAAGTAAAATAAAAATTTAAATATATATATATATTGTTCATGTTTTTTTGTTTTCAAAATAGTCTTCTATTAACACTCTGAATTATTCTTTGACCTGAGAGTTATCTAGAGGTTTGAGTGTTCCTAAGTGTTTGGGTAATTTTCCTTAAAGATTTCTAGCTGTGTTTCAATGTACTATGAAAACATTAGCTATATAAAGTGCTCCTTTTGAGAATTTAAGACTCCTCCAAGATTTAACATATTATTATTATTATTTTAAATAAAGTTTATTGGAGTTACAGGTATTATTATTTTTTAAGAATGTTCCATAGTGGCTATATGGTTCCTATCAGAAATCCATTACCCTGCCTCAAATGAAATTTTGCCCAAGCATCCTCAAATCAGTGGCATCTTACCTGACCCCTTCCTCCGTGTACAACTGCCCACTTCCCTCCTTCTGCTTCCACTGCTATGGTAGCACCTATGATATATAACTGCACATATTTTTTCACATACTGAGTTGAGTACAGTTTTCTCTTATTCATCTTAATGTTCCCTGTATCTGGCAGAATCCATGGAAGGTGCAAAATAAACACTTTCCAAATTAATGAAAAGAGAAAAACTGCTTTTATGTGCTAAGCCAGGAAAAGATGCAGGGCAGGCCTGGCACAGCTGATCACACTTGACCTTGATGTTATCAAACAAATGACTACTCACAATTTGTATTTTAATAAAAATTCCTGAGACAAAATTTTGTTATAATAGTAAAATAGTCATCTGAAAAGATAAAAATAAATTTTATTTACCTAATGTAATCCACTGTCCAGAATCTGAAAGTAACTTCAAATTGGGAATAACATTTGGGTCTTTGAAAAAAGCCTAAAATACAAATTTAAAGAAAACAAGTTAGATAGATACTTTGTTACAAATAACTATAGTAAAAGCTCATTTAATTCAATTGGGGAAAGATAATTTTAAATCAGTAAAATGTCTAAGTAATAAATGCTTTATAAAGAAACGAAGTTTTGCCCTGGCCAGTTTGGCTCAGTGGTTAGAGCGTCGGCCTGCGGTCCAGAGAGACCCGGGTTCGGTTCCCGCTAAGGGCACGTACTTCGGTTGCAGTTTGTCCCCGGCCCTGGTTGGTCGTGCGGGTGGCAGCCACTCGATGTGTCCCTTCACATCGATGTTTCTCTCTCTCTCTCCCTTCCTCTCTCTCCCTCCCACTCTATCTGTACAAAAAATGGAAAAATATCCTCGAGTAAGGATAAAAAAAAAAAAAAAGAAACGAAGTTTTGCCTTGGCCGGTTTGGCTCAGAGGTTAGAGCGTTGGCCTTCGGGTCCAGAGAGACCCGGTTTTAGTTCCCGCAAAGGGCATGTGCCTCGGTTGCAGTTTGTCTCCGGCCCTGGTTGGGTTGTGCGGGAGGCAGCCACTCGATGTGTCCCTTTCACATCGATGTTTCTCTTTTTCTTCCTCTCTCCTCCCACTCTGTCTGAACAAAAAATGGAAAAATGTCCTTGGGTGAGGATAAAAAAATAAAAATTAAAAAAAGAAAAAAAGAAATTAAGTTTTGCCCTGGCTGGTTTGGCTCAGCAGTTAGAGCGTCAGCCTGAAGACCAGAGAGTCCCAGGTTCGGTTCCCGCTAAGAACACGTACCTCGATTGCAGTTTGTCTCCAGCCCCAGTTGGGGTCATGTGGGTGGCAACCACTCGATGTGTCCTCTCACATCAATGTTTCTCTCTCTCTTCCTCCATCTCTCCCTTCTGCTCTATCTAAAGATAAATGCAAAAATGTCCTCAGGTGAGGATAAAAAAAAGAAATTAAGTTTTGTTAATTTCAAGTTGGAACAGTATGAACAACACTATGTCAAGGTATAGATAGCTTTGACAATTTAATAAATAGAAAATAATGATTTACAATGAAAAGGATGAGGTTATATAATATTTGAAAATTTTGTTTTCCTTCAATCTTGTTTCCCCAATTAACTGTCTTGGTAATTACTACCACCCCTCCCTAACTAGATCTAAATCTAAAGTGACGGTCTATTTAAATCTATCCAGGGAGCACCACAGATAAGTCATAGATTTGACTTCCTAAAAATAAAATTTGCTACATGGCAAAAGAAAATAAAGTAGTCAAGTTTTAGTTCAACCACGAGCAGCTGATTCTGGCTGAAAAAGTCAGAGGAGAAACTCATTCAAGCATCTCAGGCAGTCCACATAATTTTCAGGAGGGGAGAATCAGCTAAAGGCTGGGCCCTGGGAACAATCCAAAATCATACAGAGCAGAACTGCCCTGATGAGGAAACAGTCATCGTTGCTGCAGCCCCATCAAGCACTAAAGGAAGCTATTACCATCCATTCTCTTAAGGCACTGCTGTGCCAGGACAGCCTGGCCTGAAAGTTGGATGCCTCTGCTACCACTTTTGCCAGTGAAATGGGTTCTCCGCGCACTTTTTTCCTTACGTTGCTCACTTTGAAATCCCAGATCTGTACTGATAAGTCTGATTGGTAAACTTGGACCTCAGGTTTGTGCTCTGAGTGCAAAGGAGGCAAGTGTTTTGAGTTCCATTTTGGACTTGCTAAAAATAAAATAACCCCCAAATTACATGTATGTTAAAAGGTGCTGGGCAATAAGTAAAAACAATGATGTCTATGATAAGCAATAAAAGAAAACAATAGATTGGGAGAAAATATTTGCCACAAATATAATTTTTTAAAAAATGGGGCCTGAGCCCTGGCTGGTTTGGCTCAGCGGTTGGAGCGTCAGCCTGTGGACCAGAGTCCTGGGTTTGTTCCTGCTAAGGGCATGTACCTCAGTAGCAGTTTGTCCCCGCCGCGGCTGGGGTCGTGTGGATGGCAACCAGTTGATGTGTCTCTCTCTCTCTTCCCCCTTCTTCTCTCTCTCCTGCTCTATCTAAAGATAAATGCAAAAATGTCCTCAGGTGAGAATAAATAAATAAATAAAATTAAATAAAAAATGGGGCCTGAACCAGGCCGGTGTGGCTCAGTGGTGGAGCACTGACCCATGCACCAAGAGGTCACTGGTTTGATTCCCAGTCAGGGCACATGCCCAGGTTGTGGGCCAAATCCCCAGTGGGGGTCATGTAGGAGGCAGCCGATTGATGTTCTCTCTCATTGATGTTTCTATCTCTCTCTCTCTCTCTCCCTCTAAAAATAAATAAATAAAAAATAAAAAAATAGCCCTGGCCGGTTTAGCTCAGCGGTTGGAGCGTTGGCTTGCGAACCAGAGAGTCCTGGGTTCATGCTAGGGGCACATACCAAAAAATAATAAATAAATAAAAATGGGGCCCTGGCCAGTTTGGCTCAGCAGTTAGAGTGAAGGCCTGTGGTCCAGAGAGACCAGGGTTCGGTTCCCGCTAAGCGCACGGACCTCAGTTGCAGTTTGTCCCCGGCCCTGGTTTTTCGTGTGGGTGGCAGCCACTCGATGTGTCCCCTTCACGTCGATATTTCTCTCTCTCTCTCTCTCTCTTCCTCTCTTTCCCTCCCACTCTCTCTGAACAAAAAATGGAAAAATGTCCTCGGCTGAGGATAGATAGATAGATAGAAATAAATAAATAAATAAATAAGTAAATAAGTAAGTAAGTAAATAAGTAAATAAATAAATAAAAATGGGGGCTGACATCCCCAATGTTTAAGATACAAAAACCTGTTTTAGCCCAGCTGGTGTAGCTTAGTGGTTGAGCGTCGACCCATGCACCAAGAGGTTGCCGGTTCAATTCCTGATCAGGGCATATGTCCAGGTTGTGGGCCAAATCCTCAGTGGGGAGCATACAGAAGGCGGCCAGTTGATGTTATCTCTCACTGATGTTTCCATCTCTCTCCCTTCCTCTCTCTCTAAAATCAATAAAGAAAAAAAAATTAAAAACAAACAAACAAACCTGATTTAAACATGCCCAAAGGGCCCTGGGGTATGGCTCAGTTCATTGGAGCGTCCTCCTGGAGAGCAAAAATTTTGGGTTTGATCCCCAGTTGGGGCGTGTGCAAGAGGGAACTGGACAATGTCTCTCCCTTACATTGATGTTTCTCTCTCGCTCTCCCTTCCTCTCTCTCTCTAAAATCAATAAACATATAAAAATAAACATGGCCAAATGATATAAAAAATCACATAAAAATACAAATAGCCAATAAACTTATGAAAAGATGCTCAACGTCCAGAGCAGTGAGAGAAGTGACAATAAAAACCAGAAGACATCACTTTTATCCATTACACTGGCAAGATTTAAAGACTGGTAACTTTGGTGAAAGTACCAAGAACAATGCATTCTCACACACTGCTGGTGGAAGTATGAATTTTTACAACCTTTTGGGAAGTAACTGTATATTAATCCTGAACATTAAAAACATGCATATCTTATGATCCAACAAATTCTACTTCTGGGTTTGTGTCCTGCAGAAATAAAACCATGAATGGATTAAGATTTATGTATAGGAAATTTTTTATAGTACTGTTTGCAGTGTCAAAACTTGGAAACATTTCAATCTTCATCAATAGAAGAAAGGCTGAATAAAATACAGTACACTTACAATAGTTAATGGAAAAGAAAGTACATATAGAACGTAAGCTCCACAGGGGTAGGAGCCTTGTTTTTCTTACTGTTATACTCCCAGGGCCTTGAATGGGGCCTGACACATAGCAGTTACTCAATAAACATCTGCTATATTGACTCTGAAGGAAAACCATGAGCATTTTGAGTAGAATAATAATAATTTAAGAGTAATGTGTATTATAAAACACATACACACACAAAATGAAATAAAGCTTCCATTTATATGAACATAAAGAAAAGTATGGAAGAATATATACCAAAACATTAACAATAGTTACCTCAGAAGTGCTGGTTATAGTGTTGTGGGGAGAGGTGGAGTGAAGATAGGAGATAGGATTAGATTGGGATAGAGGCTATTGACTCTATTAATTGTTCCTTGTGCTTAAATTGTTGCAATAAATATTTCTCTTATTTCGACATTCCTTTCAAGCTATTATTCTTTTCCTAAATAGCTTCTTAAAAAAGAAATTTATCTGTTTCTTTTCTCTACCAGTTATTCTTCTGTAACTGGCTGCAGCTCCCATTATCAAGTAAAAGAACACTTGAATTCCTTAATTCCAAAATCTAATGGACACAATCCTGGCCCTTAGAGAGTTTACAGACTAAAAGGCGAGGTATTAACTAACATGCCATGAGTATTATGAAGTGTAGGGTATTTTATAGGAAGCACATAACAGGCAGATCTAATCTAATAATGTTGGAAAGAAAGGTTAATGTGGAAAAGAACATTCAGGTTTAGATTGGAGAAGTGAGTAACTGTTGGCTGAGCAAAGGGATATAATGCTAAACGTTTAACAACTGATACTCCTACCCCCCCCCCCCCCCAAAGCCCTGATTTGAGCATCTGCTGATTTCCATGGTGGATTCTAAGCTGCCAATAGTTTAACAATCAGCAAAGATTTCTGAAAATTTAGTAGTTAAGCTGTCCTGATCTGGTTTTAGCATGACACTGGAAAGTTTTATTTTTAAGAAGAAGAAAATCCAAGTTTAAGGTCTGTAATGTGAGAAAAGAGGGAGTGTATCCCATTCAAATAAAGAAGTTCAGTGTGACCAGAATCCAAGGGGCAATGGTCAGATGAAGTTGGGAAGTTAAACTATACCTTGTAGGTCAAGTAAAAAATTTTGATCCTGATCTAAGATCTACCTAGATTGATCAATATTTTGATCTAAGGGCAATAGGAAGACACTGAAGGGATTTAAGCACAGGAAAGGTGATTAGGTCTTATTTTTAAAATTTAATTCTGGGTGTAGTGTAGAGGATGAATTGAAGTGCTATTGAGACTGGTTAGGTGGGAGGGTTCTGCTGTAATC